TTAAATATATTGATTTTTCACGGATATATTCAGGGTGATACTGGACTTTTGGGGAAAACTGTATATATAATATAAATATAGATTTATTAGCTGTACCTGTAGGCTGTAGAATCGTAAATATTTTATGATATGTAAAACAAGGGTGGATACAGTGGTCCTGAACAGAGGGAGGGAGGATTTATTAGTTAAAGGCTAAAAAATTCATTATCTATTTAAAAAAAAATTAATAATTTATAAATTGGTACCATTTTTTTTTTGTGAATGGGTGTGGGGAGGAAATTTCACCTATTGACCTCCCCCCTGTATCTGCCATTGTGTAAAAATATAAGATTCGATAAACATATAACTATTCTAGCATCTAGGAATATGAATGGATTTTAGATGTGTTCACGACTCTATGTTAAGTATACATTTATTGAATTGAACAAAGAGTTATTAGTTATTACCATTAATACAGTTTATCATGCAATACATTGTTATAGTTATTTTTATAGTTATTCATATTTTATTAAAGATGAGCAGAATAAGAAGTTTAAAGTTTTTTTTTAAGAATAGGTATACATTTAGATATTTAGATACATAATGTCATATTATATACAAATAGTAAATACTACCTAATAACAGTAATATTAAAGCTAACAATACAAAATTGCTTATGCCAAAGTTGTATTTTTGTAAGACAGAGACAACACAACAAATTTGTGTTCAGCAGTTCCAATTTTATGTTGTAAGCTTAATAATATAATGAGTTGACGAGTTGACCTATGAACAAACTTAAAGGTAAGAACATTATCTGTGATTTCGTATGGGATTTTTATTTTTTACAATATAATATATTTATTTTTATCGAGTATGAGCATTTTAAAATTGTAGTATTTTACAGATTTTTCAAAGGTTCTTAGTACACAAAATTTGTTCTGCCATATCTTACCCTGGGAAGGATTTTATTCTGTGGATGCGCTGGGGTACTGCTTAACACAAATTTGTTATGTTGTACTTTCATAAGACAGACAACACATGTGGGTGTGGCTTTCTCTTAAGTATAAATGACTTAAATATTTTTCAATAAACTAATAATTAACAAATTAAAAAAAATCATACCATCACCAAACAATTTGTAGTTTGTACAATAGGTTTATCATACTTTAGCTTTATAACAAAATAATAAAGAATTATTACAAAATATTGTGTCCAATACTAAAAAATTAAATATAGAAAACATTTTATTCATCTATACCCACATCAGCAATTTCTTATAAAATTATGATATAATAAAAACTAAATCACTTTAACAAATTATTGGATAACAAATTTAGTATTGCATGTATAAATTAAATGGACAGTTTAACAATATTCAAGACAAAAAAAAAGATCACTTATTTAAAATAATTAAACTGTATTCTAATAAAATACTACAAAGTTGATAGTAACCACATCTTGTAAGCTTGAGTAGTGTTTTAATCTGGTCTAAGTTGATGAACTGATAAGAATACATAAATATGTTATCTAAAAAATAAAACAAAACATATAATATTATTTTATTGAAATATATATCAGCTATCTTCTATTCAAAATAAGAAATGCAAAAGGCGGCCGACTTCTGTGCAGGGGCGTGGCAATACTACGCGGTAGGTATATAGAGTGGTGACTCGGTAGGGGAGCTAAACGGATGTTACCTGACTGCTGCCAACAAAAACTGATTGCCGCCCTTTAAGTTTATTATTTTGAACAGAGTATAGTATGATGTATAAATATAGTATTGTAACTATACAATCTAGTCTTGAATTATATAGAATAAAACATTTTTGTAGCGATAATAGATAGGTATAATAGTTAATAATTTATAATTTATATTAATGGTTCTCAATTGTTTTTAATTAAAAAGACGTGATACCCCCATGTGTTGTCTCCGTCTTACAAGTGCATAACATAGCAAATTATATGCAAAGTAGAACACGTGTAGCTCCGTTAGCTTAAAAATTAGAGTAAATAGACCTCTTATAAAATCTAAAGGTAAAATTATTATCTAAACAACCTCTTGAGCTTTTTATTCTACTTTAATTTTTAAGCGAGTTATGAGTTTTTCAAAATGTACAAATAATTTACAATTTTAAAATACTCATAGCTCGCTTTAAAATTAAAATATAATAAAAAGTCAATGAGGTTGTCTAGATAATAAGCTAACCTTTAGATTTTATAAGAGGTCAATTCACTCTAATTTTTAACCTAACGGAGCTACACGTGTTCTGCTTTGCGTATTATTTGCTATGTTACGCACTTGTAAGACGGAGGCAACACATGCGGGTATCACGTCCTCTTAAGTGAAAAAAAGTGGATTGAACTCTTAAAATCAAAAATATAAATTTTAATTATAAATAATCATTAATTATTTAAGTCCAAACTACTCAAGCAATTCTAATATTTTGAAAATTTTATCAAGTATACAAATTGATAAAATAAACATATTATTAAACAAATTTCAAGTATCTACAGTTATTCGTTTTTAAATTACAACAAAATAAGTAATTCGACACATGAGAAATTGAGTGAATATGTAATCTTGTAAAAATATGAACTTTAAAAGCTCATCAAAATTTAATTTGACTTTTGTTAAACATTTTTTTTTGAGGCCGACAAACTTATGAGGATATTTTCAAATGTTAGATTTAAAAAGAAAATGTTTTATGAATTTCTAACACAAAATAATTTGCATATTTTTGTGATTTTTATATGTTTTGTCTAGATTTGAACTTTTAATTCTCATAAAAAAAAATTGTGACTATGGATTTTTAATATTTTTCAAATATCATTGTAACAATATATTAGAAGCATTGTAATACATTTTCAATATTTTTTACCCAATAAATACAATTTTATTGACATTCATAGAAAAAAAAAACTTTAAAACTAAAAATGTCCGTAAGCAATTCAAAACAAATCAAAATTTTTTTTAAATGTTATCTTGTATGGAAAATGCTTATATAAATTAGTAAATCTAGCAGCCTATATTACTAAGTAAGATATTATTATTGGTGTTTAATTAATTTATTTTATTGCCGACGTTAGTAATACAGTAGTTTAAATACATTTTTGCCAAAATTATTCTGCCTTGGATTAAACAGCTATTTGAATATTACACAATGTTATCCAGCATATTCCATATAAGATATATTATAAAAATTGAGTAATATACATTTGTTTGTACCTATATGTAATTAAATATTTTGATGTATTTCCAGGATTTTGGATTATGGGAAACATTTTTCGAAAAAATGTTCAAAAAGCTTGAAAATGAAATACAAAGTTTCTTATGAGTTTTTCTGATAACACATTACATAAAAATCACAAAAATCGCAAATTATTTTGAAGTTGAAAATTCATTTAATTTTCAATTTTAATACCTAAGACTTGAAAATTGAATACCAACTTTCACTTAAGAGGACGTAGCATCCACATATGATGTCTACTTCTCACGCATGTTTGACATGCCAAATTTTTATTCACCAGTTTCGATAGTGTGCTGTTAGTCTTGATATTAGAGTAAATTGACCTATTATCAAACTTTTAGGTAAAAACATTATCTGTGATCTCTCATTGGTTTTTACAATATTTTAATTTTTAAGTGAGTTATGAGTAGAGACCGGATTTTTATATTTTTACATCTTTTTACTGAGAGTATGCAGCTTCAATTTGATAAGCTTTCTGGACGATTCATTTACCTATAAACTGATATACAAAAGTTTTTAGAGCATAAAAAAGAATATTTCAGGGTTAAAGAATATTTTGTGCAAAAAACATGTTTTAGGAATATATTGGTATATTGGGGTCTAATTTGAATATTTTATAAAAAATCTAAGTTTATAAAAATTTTTTTTTTATAGTACCTATCATATTATTTATCTTGACGAAAGGAATATTGAAAAGAACATAAAATTGATAAGAAAATCAATTCTAAATTTTTTTCTAGGTATATATTCTCTTATCTTATTTTTATAGACGGACCATGGTAGTAGCATAGAATTGTATAGAATATACAATAGGCTAGTATTCTATGTTAAGTTTAAGTTGTTTTAATACATAATATTATTCTTTTATTTAACTATTTTATGCAAAATTATTTTATTTTTTGAATTCATAAGGCTGAATTAAGTTTAAGTTGTTTTAATACATAATATTATTCTTTTATTTAACTATTTTATGCAATATTATTTTATTTTTTGAATTCATAAGGCTGAATTATTTAAGTTTACATTGTTTTAATACATAATATTATTATGTTATTCAACAATATACAATACGTTTTTGTTTTTATTATTTAAAACATGTTATTATTATTGGTTTTTGAGTTCATAAATCTGAAGTTTAGGTATGTAACTATGTGTTACACTCATACATCTAAAATACAATTAAACAATATAGGTACACTAGTATATCATCATATTACCTGTAGCAGTGTAGCCTATAGGTTAAAAATGAATGTTTGAATATTTTTTTAACGATTAGGATAAATTTAACTATCTTATACATTTTATAAACTATTACTTTTATTTATTTTTTCAGTATTTGATACATTTTTACGAAAAAGAATATTTTTTCATAAAAGAATATTTTTGCATATTAAAGAATATTTTGATGAAATTATAGAGCATAGAAACATCTTATTTCTAAGGTTTTAAGTGCATATAAATCCGGTCTCTAGTTATGAGTATGTAAAATATTAATAGTTGAAAACGCTTGTCACTTGAAAATAAAATTTTAAAAAAATCAATGAGAGAATACAGATAATATTCTTACCTTAAAGTTTTATAATATTAGGTCAATGCGTTATAATATCAAATACTTAAGTATATTATAAGTATACATACAATATATATAATGTTGTTGAAAATATCATGTTAAAACTTAACAGAATACTTATATGAAATTAATTAAACAAAAATGTGCTTACCACATTATATTGATCATAATAAACTTGGTGAACTCTCCAAGTAGGAATAGGTTTAACTGTAACACAATATAAAAAATAAAAAAAATATTTATATGAAACTAAATAGTTAACAAATCATTTATCTTAAATCTGTAACTCAGATATTTGAATAATGGATAGCATCCTTAAAGATTTTATGCTTACTGAACATAAAGAGATCCAGTTTTGTAATTTGATTGTTTAAGAGCATCCTTTAATTTTTCTTTCTGATGTAATAATACACCAGATGAACTTGAAGTACTACCACCGTACATACTATTGAGTACATAATTAAATCCTTTTACTGCTTTAGTACTGTTAACTTTAAACCGTTGCATTCCAAATGCTTGAATAGCTTTAGACATTCCATATACATTTGATTCAATCCATACTGATCGCTCTGCAACTGTAGTACTTGGATTTTCTTCATTTACTTTATAAACAACTTTTTCTGTCACGCCCTAATACAAAATAAAGATGTTAATATTTTTTACTTTTTTAAGCTTATAAGCATTAAATTTAAATTAATTTTATATTTATTTAAATAAATATAAGATGTTTAAATATTATATCATGGAATGAACCAATCACAAATTATTTATTTATAATTAATTTAGAAATGTACTGTTGTAGTTATTGAATTAATGTTTAAATTTTAAATTTTAAATTAAAATTCTTTAAACAAAAATTTAATAACATCATTATTAAAAAGTTAATAGAAGATAGAAGTTAAACTACAAATAACCTTGAACTAATAAAATTGTTAATTCATTAACAGAAAATGTTATAATTATGTATAAATTATTGGTATTTTAAAGAAATGTTCAAGGTCTTTATGAAATAGATATTACAGATCAGACACGTACCATAACACTTGCATATCCAACATTTCTTGTATATGTCACCAATGTCTTTTTTGTAGGATCTAAAATTGATTCTTCAACAATTTTTACATCTTTACTATTTATAAAACGTTCACCCCATTTTGGCAACTTGTTAGTTTTTGTGAATAACCTAATAGAATGTAACTTTTTTTCTATCACCTCTCTATGTAACACATCTTCAGATAATACATGCTTGCTGAAAACGTAATATAGGTACTTATTATTTAATATCTAAGTAATAATTAATTTTTATATTAAACTGAAATGTTACCTTTCTGGGTTTGGATAACGATGCCAAAAACCATGAACCACTTGATCCCATCTGAAGGGGAATAAACTTTTATTTTCAAAAAATTTTACCATTATTATGGGTAATATGTATAAAAATTATTACAAATCTATATTTTATAACAAATCAATTTCAAAAACTCAAATATAGCTATATAACCTATACACTACATGTATTTAGCATTTAAGTTGTTTCCAGTGTCATTTCAATATTTCAATAAAATATGTACTATGTACTAAGTGAATGTGACTTAATAGTTGTAGTATAATATCACAGAACAATATGTAGGCCGCGGGGCATGGGTACAGCATACTATTATATTATTTACCTTACACAAGGAGTAAGGAGATAACACTGTATGATAACAAGACGGTAACATTGATAAGAAAAATGTAAACCAAGGTGAAATGATCAAAATAATTAACAACCGTCAACCTATATAAAAATAAGATGTCTAGATAGGTATTTTATTATGAATGTATTGATTTTACAAAGATGTTTTTAATTTTTAATTTTTTTTGGGGTTTGTCATCACCTTTTAGGACAGTAAAAATGCTTAGATTTTTTTCAACAGCAGCAGTATCTTTTCTGATAGGAAAGTGAATCTCGTTGGTACTTGGGGGGGGGGGGGGGGGCAAAAGTTCCTAAAACTTTTCATAAGAGCAGGGAAAAACAAAATAAAAATAAAGGAAAAAAGGAATTTTTACGCAAAATAAGTTTTTGAAAAATCGATCTTGGTTTTTGGTGCATCACTAAAACAAATGACTTCAGAATGTGTAAATACATGCAATTCCCACCGCTTGTTTATAATTTCTCTTATTTTGTTGTTATTCAATAACTAAAAAGTTATAATATGGCATATGCATAGTTGCATTTTCTATACACAATAACATTTGACAATAACATAAAATTTTTTCTTTTTAAACCTAAGATTTGAAAATGTTTTCATAAGTTTGTTGACCTTTATCAAAAACAAAATGTCTATAAGTCAAATTAAATTTTTATGAACATTTGAAGTTCATATTTTTAGAAGATCGGATATTCACTCAATTTCTCTTGTGGCGGTTCTCTTATTTTGCTGTAATACAAAAACACATAACTGTAGATGAAATTAACTATGGTGTTAATTTTATATGTCTATTTTATCAATTTCTATATAGGTACTATATTTTGACTCGTTTTGAGCTGTTTACTGACAATTGAAAATTTCAATTTTTTCAGTTTTTTTTTTTTATAAATATCAATTAAATTTTATTAGTGTAGCAAAAAAGCGTCAAAATATAATACAATGCTCATAGTCTATTTATTAAATAGCAGTTGAAAAATATTAAAAATACATACACGATTTTTTTTTTATAAGCTTTAAAGTTTGATTTTTGATAACATTTATCAAATTTAAAACTTAAAAATGATTTTGTAGTTGAAAATTTATTAAATGTTCAACTTTTATAGCTAAGGATTGAAAACTTACAACAAGATTCCACGTAAGTAGCTTATTCCGTAACCAAAAAATCTCAAAAATATAAAAACACATTTTTTTTTTGTTATTTTATGTTAAAATTTCCAGGAAATTACTTATTTTTTTGGGCGTTTTCGGTGTTTTTTGAAAAATTTGATTAACCAGTTGAACTTCTTCAGATATAAAAATCACCTTTCGTTTTAATAATATAATAAGTATCAAGTGTTACGCAAAAACGATAATGCTCGAAAATGTCCCCAAGCACAAACATCTGAAGATAATAAGATTGTATAAGATGTTTTCACATCAAAAATAAAACATACAATATCATTGTAAAATCAATATATTCATCACACTTTTCAAAATCCAAAACTAAAAAGGTGGGCAAGTGGGTGTCGCTCTGCTGTACAGTAGGTAGGTGACAAGTGGATCACTGTATAATGTATGATAATAAATTTGAATTCAACGATATAATATCATTGTATAAGACAAACGATTCTGAGCGAAGACGGTATGTCATTCTAGGTTTAAGACATATTATATAAATATATATGGTATTAAAAAAAAATTGACCTATAATAAATTCCAAATTAATCAAATCACAATATCCATTAGGTAGGTACTTATAACACGTTATACATCAATAACAAACCCTGATACTATCATAGATATATAATATAGTGTACTTTAGAAGTTTCAAGTACCCACGAATAGTATTATAGTATTAACAAAATACCTAAAATAGGTATGCTAGGTTTTTTAATATGTAATTTCGTCCCAAATTTGAACTTAAAATTACCATAAAAATAAACTGTGCTTGTGTATTTTTTAGACTTTTTGGTAACAGAATTAACTACTTACGTGGAATCTTGTTTTAAATTTTCAATCCTTAGCTATAAAAACTGAACATTTTATAATTTATTAATTATACGATGATTGATAATTTTCGAGATTTTGATAAATTTTGTCAAAATTCGATCTTTAAATGCTAATAAAAAAAATTGTGTAAATGAATTTTTAATATTTTTCAATTGCTATTGTAACAATATACCAGGAGCCTTGTATTAAATTTTTACACTTTTTGGCCCAACAGACAAAACTTAATTGATATTTATAGAATAAAAAACTAAAAAAATTGAAAAATGAAAATATCCGTAAACAGCTCAAAAAGAGATAATATTTTCAAAATTGTATGGTGTATAGGAAATTCTAATATACACATTCAGTGAAATGTTCATGTATCTACGGTAATTTGTTTTAAAGTTACACCAAAAACCAAAATCGATTTTCTCGAAAACAGATTTTGTGTAAAAATTCCCGGTTTTCCTTAATTTTTCTTTTGTTTTTCCCGGCGCCAGTGGCGTATTTACGGGAGGGTATCATTGGGTTTGATCCCCCCCCCCCAAGGCTTGAGTTGAGTTTTTTTTTTTTTTTTTAAATCTAAATTAGACGATAGTCCGGGAGCCGTCGAAAGAGTGAGGACTGAGGAGAGCGCGAGAGCAGCTGCTGGCTTATTTTGTAGTATTTCTGGACATTCTACTGGTAAAGAAAAATTTATCCTTAAAAAAAAAGGAGTAGAGAATAATATACAATCTTTATGTGCAACTATTCCTAAATTGTTACATAATGGATCATTAGAAATTAAATCTGCCAAGTTTGTTGATGTGCAATGCCTAGCATCAAAGTATGTTCCACCTGAATACATTTGGTTCTATAGATCTTTAGTTGAAGAAACCAGTTCTAATCAAGATAACAATGGTACTTTATCCAATGATGAAGATGACTAGGTATTAAAAATTGTTACTCAGTTTTAATATTAATATTAAAGAAAATATATTTTAGAATATTAAGAAATCAAAATGATTATTAGTTTTGTTTTATTAATTTTATTGTTTTGAAGTATAATTTTGTTTAAGATTTCAAATTTGAATTATTATGAGTGATATTATTTATTATTTTTATTATAAAATTTAAGAATCGAGGAGATTATTAGTTTTGTTTTATTAATTTTATTGTTTTGAAGTATAATTTTGTTTAAGATTTCAAATTTGAATTATTATGAGTGATATTATTTATTATTTTTATTATAAAATTTAAGAATCAAGGAGATCATTAGTTTTGTTTCAAATATTTTACTGTTTAACTATGATTGATAAAAATCAAGTTAATTAATAGTTTTGTTATAAATATTTCATTGGTTTTTATTATTTTATTTGTTGTAAGATATTATATGTAATGACTGATAAAATCAAGCTGATAAATAAAATATCCATGTTACTAATATTTTTATTTTACTATCTTTTACCATGTTCATATCATTTATAATGTAGTTAAATGTGTTTACATTCTACTATGACTAATATTATTACCTATCGCTATCTTTAAGGTATGATAGCCAGTTTTTATGTAAAATTAAATGAATAACAATTTAATTGTTCAGTTAACATAATACTAAGTGATTAAAGTAGAAATATTACTGATCTGATGAATAAACAAAATTCATAAAGTAATATATTTAAACTATATATAGCTAAATATTATTAGTGGAAAAACTTATGACTTCTATACACTTACTAAGCTTATTTTAATACATTTATTTGTATATTTATCAGAGTTAAAACTAAAAACAATAAATCATTTTTGGAGTTATCTTGTTTATTGTCCAGAAATTATAACTATTTTTTTGTTTATTTTTAAAATCATGTACAGGTTTAGTTTTTTTTTCTTAAAACTCAAGTATGCTGTTTGATAGTATAATTACATGATAATTATTAACTCAGTTAATTAAAAAAAACTAATTCTTAGTAAGATTTTTACATTATAAAAAAAATAAAAAAAAAGATTTAATAACTCCGAGCAATAAACAAGACAACTCCAAGAAAAATTTCTTATTTGTGGCTAAAGCCTAAAAGTGTAAAAAATATTCATGTATCAACTTAATTAAGGGTACCACAGTTTTTATCACTATTTTAAGTATATAAAATAATTTTTCTTTTTATTATTCTTCACTTAAATATATATTAAACATTAAATATGTGCTTCCTGAAAAAAATGATAAAACGGAGCTGTCTGGTTATTGCACAGAGCCCTTCAATTGTCCAAAACATCTAGAAAACTAGACTTGGTTTTGTAAAATAAAAATAAAAAAAATTGTAGTAATATTGTAGTTTTATATTTAAGTATTTAAAGTTAGGGGGTGAGGGGGGCGGAGCCCCCCTCGAGTTGATAAGTACTGGATAAAATCATATCCCCCCCCATGACAAAATCCTAAATACGCCACTGCCCGGCGCTTTTGAAAACTACTGGGAAATTTAAATTTTGACCTCTTCAATGCACCAACGATATTCACTTTCCAATCGAACAAGATACTGAAGTTGAAAATCGAAGCATTAATTTGACTACTTATCGTGTACACAAACACAAAAAAATATAAAAATTATTAAAAAAAATAAAAAAACACACATCATTGTAAAATCAGTACATTCATCGTTCCACTCAGAATCTAAAATAATTTTTAGGAAAATTAAGTAATGTATGAAAATTATTAATTAATACTTAATTTATTTGTGTCCATAGTTTTTTCTTTTGAAATCAATCTCAAAGATCCAAAAAGGTGGGTAAGTGGATGTCGCTCTGCTGTACAGTAGGTTACAAGTGGGTCACTGTATAATCGATACTATTAAATTTGAATTCAATGATACATTATCATTGTATAAGAAAAACGATTCTGAGCGAAGACGGTATGTCAGTCTATGTATAAGACATATTATATACATATCTATGGTATTAAACAAAAATTGACCCATAATAGGTACCTATAATAAATTCCAAACTAATCATATCACAATATCCATTAGATACTTATAACGCGTTATACATCAACAAAAACCGTGATACTATCATAGATATATAATAGTACACTTTAGAAGTTTCAAGTACCCACGAATAATATTATTCAATCACAACAAAATAACTAAAATCGTAATTCTTGGTTTAAATATGAAATTTTGTCTAAATTTGAAATTAAAATGTCTGTAAAAAATAAGTGTGTTTATATATTTTTTAGATTTTTTGGTTACAGTATGAATTATTTAAGAGAATCTTTGTTTTAAATTTTCAACTCTTAGTTATAAAAACTGAACATTTTATAATTTTTTAATTCCAACGATTGATAATTTTCGATATTTTGATAAATTTTGTCAATCACTTAATGCTTATAAAAAAAAATCGTGCCTATGTATTTTTAATATTTTTCAACTAATATTGTAACAATATATCAGGAGCCTTGTATTAAATGTTTACACTTTTTGGCCCAACAGATAAAACTTTATTGATATTTATAGAAAAAAAAACTAAAAAAATTGAAAGCTGTAAATGTTCATAAACAGCTCAAAAAGAGTCAAAATTTTTTCAAAATTGTATGGTGTATAGAAAATGCTAATTTAAACATTCAGTGAAATTTTCATGTATCTACAGTTGTTCGTTTTTGAATTGCAACAAAATAAAGAAATCGCTACATGAGTAATCGAGTGAATATCCAATGTTGTAAAAATTTGAATTTCAAACACTCATAAAAATTTAACTTGACTGTCTGGTAGAGATTTTTTTATTGATAAAGGTAGATAATCTTATAAGGAATCTTGTGTTTCATTTTCGAATCTTAGATTTAAAAAGAAAAATTTTTACGAATTCTTAACTCAAAATAATTTGCTAATTTTCGTGATTTTTCCATATTTTGTCAATTTTTGAACTTTAAATGCTTATAAAAAAAGAATTGTGACAAAGGATTTTTAATATTTTTCATCTGCCTTTGAAACAACATATTAGGAGCCTTCTATTAAATTTTCAAGCTTTCGCAACCAACAAATAAAATTTTATTGATATTTTTAGAAAAAAAACTAAAAAAAAATGGAAAATGAAAATTTCCCTAAACAGTTCAAAATAAATCAAAATATTTTGAAAATGTTATCGTGTATAGAAAATGCAATTATAAACAACCAGTGAAAATTTCATGTTCCTACAGTCATTTGTTTTAAAGTTACACCAAAAACCAAATTCGATATTGTCAAAAACCGATTTTGCGTAAAAATTCCCGTTTTTCCTTCATTTTTATGTTGTTTTTCCCGGCGCTTGTGAAAACTACTGGGAAATTTAAATTTTGACCTCCCCTATGCAACAACGATATTCACTTTCCAATCGAACAAGATACTGAAGTCGAAAATCGAAGCATTTTTTCGACTACTTATCGTGTACACAGACACAAAAAAAACACACATCATTGTAAAATCAATACATTCATCGCTCCGCTCAGAATCTAAAAATCAACCCAGTAGATAAAAAAATCCCCCTTTGCACCTACCACAAATAACGATAACGGTTTACCAAATTTATATAATTTGACCTCCAGATTGCAATAATGTTTACATAGGTAATGATTTGTCATGATACCAATATAGGCAATAGTACCTACTATGTTAATTTTAATTTTTAAATGGGTCATAGACAAAATAAAATTACATTCCAAACACGTTTGCAGTACCTAGACTTTATAATATAGGTAATATTATCTATAGGTACCGACTACTTTTGGTTACAATAAATCACTAGCTCGAAACTTTTATAAGCACAATTAAAACCTATGTTATACCTATGTTATATTCATAGAACGTATGCCTTACGACAAATGAATAAAATAAAAGAGGGTTACCATATCTATAAAATATATGAAGCATTTACATACAATAAAAAGTACCTACTATATGTATAACAGGTAAAAGCAATTGTGGTTTAATGCTACTACCTCAAGACAATTATTCCATTTCGAGCATTATTAAAATTTATAAACGATGTTATACCTTATACTATTGATATTTCTTCCTCATAGCGAACTGGTATTTAAATTAACGAAATATAAACATTTGAATAAGAGTAATATATATATATATATTTGTGCAGAAAAGTTTTAAAAAATATGAAGTAACGGAAGAAATGACCGAAGAACGAGTCGACGAAGACATTAAGTGGATGTTGTTACCAAACGGACGAGGCGACCCACAATTGGCTATAATATCGGGCTTGGAAAAAAATAGTGCAGCAGAACCATTAGTCGAAAATATAAAATTCTATTTATATACAAGGTACCTAATATAAATAAATATTTTTTTTTAATTTGTAATGTATCAATATTATATGATTTATTATTTTATATTTCGAGGTGAGCGATAGATGTATTGATTTAATAATTGTGTGTGTCGTGTGTGTGTGTATTTGTTTTCAACTTCAGCATTTTTTCTAGTAGGAAAATGAATCTAGGAAAATCAGTTTCTGACAAAATCAATATTTAAATTGTCACATAATGTTTATATTAGAATTTTCTATTTATGGTATAATTTTCAAAACATTTTGACTCTTTTTGAGCTATTTATATAAACTTGAAATTTTAGATTTTGTTCAGTTATTTTTTTCTATAAATTAGGATAAAAAAATGTATTCTAGGTCAAACTTGAAAAGTTAATTATAGGAATTAATAAAAAAGAAAAACGATTCTGAGCGAAAACGATCAGTCACCCTATGATATTACCAAGTATATTGATGGAATTATTGTGAATAAAGTAATTTATATATAACTTTTACGTGGAACCTTGTTTTAAATTTACAATCCTTAGCTATACAAGTTGAACATTTTATAAATTTTTAACTACAAAATAATTATTAAATTTTAAATTTGATAATTTGATCAAAATTCGAACTTGAAATGCTTGTAAAAAAAAATTGTGCCAATGTATTTATAATATTTTTCAAGGACTATTGTAACAATATATCAGGAGCCTTGCATTACATTTTCAAGTTTTTTTAACCAACAAATAAAATTTTATTGATATTTAAAGAACAAAACTAAAAAAATTGAAAACTGACAATGTCCGTAAACAGCTCAAAAAGAGTCAAAATATTTTCAATACTTTATGGTGTATAAAAAATGAAAATATAAACATTCAGTCAAAATGTCATGTACGGTCATTTGTTTAAGGGTTGCACCAAAAATTAAAATCGATTTTTTAGAAAACTGATTTTGAGTAAAAACTCCCGTTTTTCCTTAATTTTTATTTTGTTTTTCCCGTCGCTTTTGGAAACTTTTGGGAATTTTAAAATTTGATCTTCCGAATGCACCAACTAGATTCACTTTCTCATCGACCAAGATACTGTTGAAGAAAATCGAAGCAGTTTTACTGCCCCAAACCGTGATGACAAACAAAAAAAAAAAATAAAAAAACATCACTCAGAATCTAAAAGTAAAAACAGACCCCTTTCGTCGGCGTTCATCCTGACAACTTGTAAGCAATAATAAGTAATTATTAACTACCGATAACATTCAACTATTTAATATAGCCTGTAAGTACGGCGTACGGTTAGTGTAGTGCGTACGATTTGAACATTACGACCAAAATTGTCGGATGAAATACATAATATACCTTTTATATATTACATACTTCATATTATATATATCTCTCAAATAACTACATAAGATGAAAAAATTGAAACTAATAATTCACAATAATGTTGAACGTAAACGATTTAGTCATGGACAGGCATAAAAAACAATTCCTAAAAATTTCGGGTGGGGGGGCTGACTGAATGCCCCTGGTTGTATATAGTTATCACTTATCTTTAATTTATTATAACTTACGTTTAATTTGAAATAAAATACCTATAAGGCTATATTCTATAATAAGAGGTAAAAAAAATATGCACTAATTATTTATACATGTTTATTTCATAGGGACAATCCAACGAGAGCTGAAATGCAAACTATGGACAAAAACTGTTTGCCGATATTTAAATACTTCCGTTCTCAGAGAAAAACGAAAGTATTAGTTCATGGTTTTGGTGATAGCGCTGAGGATTCTCTTATGTTTCCATTACTTAGAGATGGTATACATACATAATATTATATATTTATACATTTATATATTAATACAATAATACTTTAAAGTTTAAGCAAACATCACACTAAATAGATTTTGAGCGAAGCGAGATAGTTATAGGCTATAGCGATGTAGCCTGTAGGTTTCCACTTGGATGTACACTTGTGATTTTTTTTCACACTTTTCTCAGATGATCAAAAAAGTTATATCCTTTAGTTTTAAAATAAATGTAAATTAAATATTAATGCATATAATATTTAAATAGGCAAATTTTCTAAATAATATATTCAATATTGATTATAATTCCAAATAGTTAATTAAATGTGATAATCAAAATTCTTTGAAATTGATGATATTTACATAATTTATAGGTACCTACTTACGAAGAATACGATTAGTTTTCAGGTGCTACAATGTTATATGCTTATACTAAAGATAAAAGTCCTTAAAAATAGTTTTATAAAAATATAAAACACACCTACCTAGATGTAATATTGGATCTAGCGGAGTAATGTTTATTATACTTGGACGATTTTTACAAATTATAAAATATTAAGATACTTTGATAGATTTATATATTAATTACTATAATAATTGTCAAGTTACCATAGCCCTCATATCTTCCAAACCCACAATACCGTGGACTTATTAGTTATTATCCTTAGGGTCAGTAGTTGTACCGTCTACGGTTAAACAGTGATTAACGATGTAGGGTCGTTGTACAGTGCCAGTTAATTATCTATGATCCAATCGTTGATTAAAGGTCCGTTAAGTTAACCAGCCATTCGACCCCTGTTAAACATAGATTAGTTAATTTTTGAGGTGGGGAATAAAGTTAAATAACTCAACAGATACTAGTTCAAATTTTGATTTTCATTAGGCATGTTAACATTTCTAAGAAATGATCCTCTAAATAATTTATAGTTGGGTGTTCTAATTTGTTAAAAGAAAGAATGAAAACTAAGCTGCAAGTATAAAAACAAGACAAACAAGTTTTTTTTAATGATATTAATCAAGACATCAAGAAGCATTAATTATAGATTTAAATTAATATAATGAGTAATGACTATACCCTGTTCTAAAAGAGAAGACACCAGATTTATGTAGCAAAATCGGGTTTGTCGTAGCTGCCTGGCGTCTTCTCTTTTGGAACAGGGTATAGAAAAAATGGGCGTTAAAAGGTAGAGAGGGTACGGCACAAAGAGGTGCATGAAATTCAAGGCCCCAATGTATCATCTCACTTTGCAAATCGGTTTTCAGAATTTGCTACTCATATTTCCCAGTCTGATTTCAAAAATATATTATTGTGGGGGGGGGGGTGTGAGCAACTCCACGCAGTCACCTCCCCCCTTTAAGATACGGACTTCAAAATGGTACCAACATTTTAAAGTAGCTAGTTACATATTATAAGGGGACTGCGTGAAGTTTTCTCCCCTTCCAACCTTATTATTTTTATATCAAACTGGGAAATGATTTACAAATTCTAAAGACTGATTAGCAAAATAAGTACATAATTTTCAATAAATTGGTTGTGAGGCCCAGATAGGACAGGCATTTTCACACACGTACCTATAGTAGGTACCTATAAACATTTACAACAAACTTAAATTGACTATGATAAAATATATTATTAGCTCATATAGCTGACACAATTCTGGCTTAATCATATTTATGAATAATTATTCAAGTATATATAATAAAGGTAGTAGGTACCTAGGTACCTTACCTAGTACTTACGAAGTCATATAATTTTTATAAACACGTACTTATATAATATGTATCATACAATATATATTTACAGCATTTTTGAACTACAACGATTATAATATATTCACTGTTGATTGGTCTGAACTGGCTGCTGTTCCTTGGTATAATTCTGCTGCAAAAAATACTAAACACGTATCAAAACATTTGGCTTCTTTCATAGACCATTTAACATCATCTACTGATGCTCGTACAGATGATTTTCATTTGATTGGATTTTCATTAGGAGCACATGTTGTTGGTCTTACAAATAACGAATTGAAATCTGGAAAAGTTAAACATATAACTGGTAAATTATTTAAGCCAACATCTGGTTTAAAATTAATATTTATTTTTTTAAGGGCTGGATCCCGCGGAGGTACTGTTTTCTTCGTCAAGCCCCGAAGAACGGCTTGATTATAGTCAGGCAAAACTAGTCGAAGTCGTACACACGTCAGGAGGATTTCTTGGATTTAAAAAACGACTTGGGCATAGGGATTTTTATCCCAATGGTGGTGCCTGGCCTCAACCTGGTTGTAAAATTGATTATGCTGGTAATAACTAACAATCATTAATCAATACCTACAAATTGCAGAAAAAAATCCCAGAATACCATTATAACAATTACATGCTGTTTTTTTTATATATTTATTCAAATAGCGGTATGTAGTCATCGCAGAGCGTACTATTATTATGCAGAAGCAATAACTAAAAGTGAAGGTTTTATTGCTGTTCCGTGTCCTTCTTATGAGGATTATACGTCAGGAGCTTGTTCAAATAATACAGATCTATCAGTACAATTAGGGAAAGCACCTTTTGATAAATCGTAAGTAACCTACTCATACTTTATAGTAAAAAAGGAGAAAAATTTAAAAATTATTTTGATTTGCAGAAAAGAAGGAAACTATTATTTAATTACAAACTCGGATTCTCCTTACGGTAAAGTAAGTAAACACTAGACATACGAGTAATCGTTGATTGCATGTTGCTCGTTGCCATATTATGACCATAAAGTATAAAACATTGAGGCAACACGAATTTAAATATTTTATTTATATAAATAATTTATGTAATTTAAATAAATAATGATTAATGAACCTACCTACTGTAATAATAAATATAAGAAAATAAATCAAAAATCGTATTTTGTATATAAGACTCCGGACTTCCAAAGTAAGTTATCAGTTGCATCCCGAGCTGTAAAATGTTTGATTGATTAGGTGACCTATAGGCTATAACCATTAATAATGGCCCATAATCGCCAACATTCTTTAGGTAAGTAAGTATCAATTATCTAATACTTTTTCTAGTGGAGGATTTAAAGAAAGTCCCAGTCTACAAAAATTAAAAAGGCACCAATAAAATAATTATTCAGGTTTAGAGCAACATTTTTGTTGGTACCTATAATTACTAGTTTACAGAGCACCGTAAATTTTGGATTCTTTTTTAATATATTTATATATATATTCCTACTTTTTAACACTAAAAACGGGACTTCAAGTTTGGTGACCTGAGTCTACAGGCGCAAGGAGCAACTAGGCACTTGTCATAAGTAAATACAAAATGCGAAATTTATTGAAAAAAAAAAAGAAGATTGTCAAGTGTGTTGAATTTGAATTCAATATTTCAATGATATAAAATTATTGTATGTAACACTGTTTATCAGCCTATATTATAAGTTAATTTTATGATATCATTGCTTTTAAGGTATAATTTGTTTTAATATTAGTAATACAGCAATAGGTTGAACATTTTTGCCAAAAGCATAGTACCTAGGTACTTGAAAATTTCATTGTGTGCGTGTAAAATATTTTAATATACTTTAAAAGTTTCAAGTACCCACAAATAAAATTTCTAAATTACAACAAAATAACTAAAATCATTATTCTCTATTTAAATTAATTTAGTCCAAATTGAACACTCATACAAGATGAGTGTGACTTTCTGGCTAACTTTTTTTTGTAGTTGTTAGAGGTAGAAAAACATATTTGGGATAGCTTGATGCTTGTACATATTTTCAAATCTTAAATATAAAAAAGAGATATTATTTTGTAAAAAATATTGCAACCATCTATTTTCCATATTTTTTATCAACACATAAAAAACAAACACACATAATTGTAAAATCAATACATTCATCGCTCTGCTTAGAGTCTAAAAGGGTACCCAATGTCTAGTATTAGAAAAGTACCAAACATTTTAATAACTGAAAAATAATCGTTAAATTTTGAAAATGCATGTAAGTAATTTACAAGTCACTATGGTGTTAAAGTTGAATTCAATGATACCTATGATATCATTGTATAAGAAAAACGATTCTGAGTGAAGACGGTCAGTCAGCCCATGATATTGCTAAGTATATTTGATGATATTATTATTTATTGTGAATAAAGCATGCTTTTTGACTCAACAAGTAAATTTTATTGACATTAATAGAAAAAAAAAACTAAAAAAATTGAAAATTGAAAATCTCCGTACTCAGCTCAAAATGAGTCAAAATATTTTGAAAATCTTATCAAATATATGAATTGATAAAATAACCATATGGTGGAAATTTCGAGTATCTAAAGTTATTTGTTTTTAAATTACAGAAAAATAAGAAAATCGCTACACGTGAAATCGAGTGAATCTCGAATGTTGTAAAAATTTGAACTTTATACGTTCATAGAAATTTAATTTCATAAAGGTAGACAAACTTATGAGGAATCTTCAATAAACATATGTATATAAAAAAAGAATTTTACCTAATGGATGGTATTATGTTTGTAAGAAGTAGTGGATAAGTACAAAAAAAAAAAAAAATGATTTCTAGAGAAAAGGGAAAAGACATGCATTTTAATATTGGGAGATTAGGTTTATTAGTTTTGTAAGGAATTCTATAAAATGTAATCCATACTTAATGAACAATGTTAAATATGGTTCATTTTTTGCAGTGAGATGTAAAATAAATAGTTATGTTATTTGATCATATTTGTATTATAGAGTTGGTAAAAACACATAATTTGTGGGCCAGTATGTACCATATCTTTCAGATTTCAGGCAATACTAATAATTGACAATAAAATCTGTTATGTAATATGTAAATGTGAAAATAAAAAACAAAATTTTTGTTTTAATAAAATGGTTTTTTATTTTACTTAAGTGTTCTTGTGTCACTTCAAAAATCAACAAACTAATACTTAATGTGGACAAAATGTATGTAATATTAATATAGGTAAATAACATTTACATAAATATAGTGATACTACAAATTTCAAATTATTGCACATTGCACAGTGTTGTAAAAAAAATTGTACAAGCAAAAGAATATATTTACACCATTTTTTTAACATAGTTTTTACTTTTTGTTAATAACAATTATTTGGCTAAGTTGATGCAAATTAAACGGTAAATAAACTTGAAATGCTTTACTTTAAATATATATTCAAACTAAGTGATTGTCCAATAAAAATAGTAATATTTATTTAATAGTTTATACAATATAAATCAATAAAAATAGTGGAACAGAATATTGAAAAAAAAAAATAATAAATAAATTTAAAATCGCTTTAGATGCATTAACTTGAGCCAATAATGTATAGTGACTAAAATTTTAAATCTAAATGATTTCAATAATATCACATAGACATGATAGAAAACTATACATAAAATAAAAATGCTTATAACTTAAAAACGTATGGAAGAAATATTTAGTTAAATTAAAAAAGTTCAGCCTCCATTAGTTTTAATTTTATTCCATCTCATTTTAATAATTCAATAAAAGTGTTTGAATTATCCCTGAACCATTTTTTGTATTTTACATATTTGTTTAGAGTTTGGCGAGTACATAGAGTTGACTAGACAGAAATCAAAGAACAAATTATATAATAATAAATGCTCTTATGATTTGATTTTTATTCATAAACTGCAAACAAAAAAAGAACCTAAATTTCAGTTCAAAATTATTTCATTAAATACTGTGAGAAATTGGTAAAAATAAATAAATATTACCTCATAAATAAATTGTACAACTTTTTATTGGCTACAAATGACACACGCTCACTATGTATGTGCTCATACCAGTTATTAGGGCCGTATTCAAAGTCGATACTTAAGAATAAGTATTGCTTAAGCTAAACTTATGACTCAAGAGAGATTCATAAATGAAACTTTAAAAGAAAAAGTATTACTTAAATTAAGGTTGGTTGAGACCTTCCTTAAGCATTGCTTTTAGTCATTATCATAATTTTTTTTTTTTAAATTATCAAAATTAAATTAAGCAAAATGTTTTATTCTTTAGCATTGACTATAAATATGGCCCTTAGGGTAATATAATAATATAATAAATTCTATAAATGTAATAAACTGGTAAAACAATTAAAAATAAAACAAACTAGAGAAAACTTAAAAGGCAATCTAAATAAAATACTAATACACAATTTAAAAAAGATACCTTATTATGGTAAATAAGATTTTCAAATAGTTCTGATTTAGGAATGTTATAATTATAGTCTTATGTATTTATCATAGATTTTCACAACTTATTTTACTTAAGAGCTCGTGATACCCGCATGTGTTGTCTCCGTCTTACAAGTGCGTAACATAGCAAATTTTACACTCAGCAGAACAGGTAATTTGAAAATTAGAGTGAATTGACCTCTTATGATATCTATATTTGAGATTATTATCGAGCCTACTTCTTGGGCTTCTTATTATGTTTTAATTTTAAATCGAGATATGAGTATTTTCAAATTATAAATTGTTTGTACAGCTTAAAATACTCATAACTTGCTTTAAAATTAAAATATAATACAAATCAGAAGAGGTTGCCTAGATAATAATCTTACCTTTAGATTTTATAAGAGGTCAATTCACTCTAATTTTTAAACTAACGGGTTCTGCTGAGCGTAAAATGTACTATGTTATGTGCTTGTAAGACGGAGACAACACATACAGGTGTCACATCCTCTTATAATATTTTATTACAAACATATCATATCAAATGTCTGATTGTTAATATATGACACTTATTCAACAATATCCTTTAAAACCAGAGTATTTAGATCTTTTTTAAATCACGGATAACATTAGGTTTTTAGTTATTCAAAATAAAAATAAAATCATTATTAGATAAGGTTTGATGGGCAAATAATCCAATCAATGACTCTGAGAATAAAAAAAATCTTTAGTTAGGTATTTACTATAAGTTATTATTTTCCGACACAACTAATTTAGAAATAAATATACCTAAGTATTTATTATTCTAGGTGTTATACTCCTTCCATAATAGCATTTTACAATGTAGTTAATACTTAATATTACTAATCTATTTTGTACCTCAATATTTAACAAATTATATTAAATCTAAGTAAATTAATAATAGATATTGTACAACCTTAATTATATCAATAAGTACTCGCTAAACTCAAAATGTTGGCTGAAATATTAAAACATTATCAGAAATAAAGCATCAGACTAGAATATGTAAAACTAGTAATATTGAGCAATGTGATTAACAAAAATTTAAAAAAGGGAACTTGCCTAAAATTGTTCTTATTATACTAAAAAACTTAAAAGCACCTTTAATTTATATTAAATTTTAATGTTTAATTTTTTTTTGTACAACACATTGTCATTACCTTACAAATGGACTATAAATCTTGTTTTTCAAAATACTCAAGTAGTGTATTTTAAATCTTAAGGGATTTCTGGATTGAATTCTAAAGTACAATTATTAATTAAGTTAAGCTTCAAAGCATTATTTCTCTGAATTGTGTTTTATTGCACTTATTTTAATAACCACCGTACTTCAATATAATTTAAAATTTAATTAAAATATAAAAAGGCAATTCAAATTTTAAAAATACAAAAATCTATTTCAGATGCATGTTGTAAATATATTTTGAATTTACTATGCCGTAAGTGATACATGAGTAAAAAAACAAAATTTAGTTAAGACAACAACTAGCTATCTATTCAA